GGTCTGCGCGACCAGATTCAAACCTGTGGAAGAAGAAGACCGGGGCGGAATAGTTCCTGAAGCAGCCAGACCATAATTCTTCAAAGCCGAAGCCTGGCAATGCACCTGGAAGGAACCCGCGGTGCCTCCCCGGATGCCGCCAGGCACGTCCTTGGCCCGAAGCTGAGGTGTGTACTTCGTTCAGTCCAAGATGGCACAGACCGAGACAGAATCTTCGGGTTTTATGCGATGGTCCTGGGTGCCATGCTTTTCTGGTTGAAGCAGGGCAAAACCTAGCATGTCCGCAATGGAGCCTCTTGCCATTGAAGACCTGGCTATGAGATGACATCGCAGGCGCAGACATGTCGTGCAATCAAGTCGGCGGCGTCTTAGCAAATCCCTAGCCCTGAGCATTGAACCATGGCCCCTGCAAGCAGGAAACTGTTTTGTACCGCGATGTACCAAGGCATGGGACAGAGCTGTTATGCTATTGGCCAGTGCCACCTCGTCCGGAGTGCAGCTCAACCGGATTCTTTGCAGTGCTGCATCTTGGCCAGCGGAAATTCTGATGATACTTCAGCTTTTACATGCTGCTGATGCTGCTGCAGCTGCTGCTCACATTGCTCACGGTGCTTGTACGATGCTGTGCCCACAGAGCTCCTCCCCACATGCAGGCCATGAACGCGTGCCGACAATCCACCAGCTGGGCACGCGTCTTGCAGCTCGTGCGGGTGGCAGAGTCCAACCTTGATCCAGATCTGATGATGTACAACTCAGCTGTTGCGTGTCCAGTGCTCAGCACAACATAGCATAACAATACGGAGGGGAAGGTAGCGGGCAGATGGCAGCATATGCATCTTCTCGCCAAAAGTCACGCGCAGGTGTTGCGGCTGAGCGCTGGCAGTGTCCAATGGCTTTGATGTCAGCGCTGCGTGACAGCTTTTTCGAGGCAGATGTGATCACCTACGGCTCAGCGATTACTGCTTGCTCCGAAATTGCAGACAGCATCAGCCGTATTAGTTCTTGCATGTTCTTGCAGTTGCTGGACTAGAAAGGCCAAGAAAGGCCCGCATGTGATGCATGAGCCACTGCCTAGTGAGGCTCTCGGCAGGCAGCGTGGTCTTTCTCTGTGGCGCTTTTTGCTTCGCTGAAGCGATGCCGCTTGGAGGACTGAGTGGATTTAAAGTGGCCAGAGATGGCCGGAGGATGCCGCAGGCTCTGCGACCTCTGCTGCAGATAGAGGGATGAAGTAAGTCACGCAGGCAGACATCGTCGCATGGGGAGCTCTAATGCAAGCGTGCGCTCCAAGCATGTGGCAACGCTCCTGGCAGCTCCTGTGGCAAATCGCTGGAAGGACGATCAGAAAAGAAGTAAAGTTATCGTGGCTCATTGAAGGACAGAATCGCACTTGCAGAACGTGTCCAACTCCAGACACAAACATATTTAAGGTTTTTGCAGGGTCCATTTAGAGGTCTCATTGATCCCAAAACGAACAATTGATCTCTATGCATGGTAGGCACTCACGAGTTTGATTTGTGGATATGTCTCGCAACTCGAAATCTCCAACAAGTAAAGTAGGAACAATTCTGGCAAATACAAGTTGAGAAAGATTCACAAATGCCTTATAGTGGCTAATGATGAGTGACCGAGTATTCATTCCATATCCTGGATTCTATGCGCAGATGCCATGTGTGCACTTTGGGAAACATTTGGTGTTGAAACACGTGTTGTTCAGGGGGCTTGCTACCAGCAGCCGCATCTATGTGACCGTGATGAGATCGCTCAGGGGGCAATGGACAACCGCTCTGCAGCTACTAGACATGCATGACCTGGTTCACGAACCAAGTCCGACTTTACACAACAGCTATCTTGCTGCCTTTGAAGATTTTGGCCAGTGGCAGAAAGCCTGGTGGTTTCTACAAGCGCTTAAAGCAGGAGCAAGCGAGCTGGATATTGCTACATACAACACGATCACAGATTTGTGTGCACAAACTGCTTGCTGGCAATTTGCTCTGCTTCTCGGGCATTCATTGGAGAGAGAGGGGCCTATACGGCCGGATGTGATCACATGTAATACAATGATCACTGCCTGCGCCAACGCCCGCCTTTGGCAGAGAGCCGTGGCCATCATGGCTGAAATGCCAGTCAGGAAGGTGAATAGAATCACCTTCAATGCGGTGCTACATGCCTGTGCCGGCAGTGCTCTTGGCTGCACTTTTTTGAAATCCTCTGCTGTCGGTCTAATGTTTTATAAAGGCGCCGTTTTCTTGGATTTTCTGAGGTTCAGCGTGGCAGCAGGGCCTGGTGCTTTTTGCCCGCATGGAGCTGTCACGTATTCTCCCGGACTCCTTCACCAGCACATCTTTGCTCAGTGCCATTGGGAGCCTTGGCTTTCAAAGGGTCAGCTTGTGACCACGTGATGCAGTTTTCATTCTGAGGAGGGCGCGCCGTTGGCAGGATGTGCTGGTCTTGTCTGAGCCTCATTTCTCCCACCGCGTCCTGTCCGTGAATATATTAGTGCAAATCTATCACCCAGGTTTGAAGAGCTGAAGGCCACGTCACAGCCAAGTCTGGAGGTCTGCAATGCTGTTCTCGATGCCTACGAGAAAGGCATGGTTTGCTCTGTGTGGTTGCATGTTGGGCCTAGGATCACGGGGCTGCACGGCTCTGTGAATTGGCATAGTATTCCAAGTCAAGAATGTGAAGCCTAGCTGGGTGCCAAGCCCTGTGAATACTTCAACAGTGTATGCTTTGGTTGGTGGCTGCTGGCTGACGAGACCAGGTGGTATGTGGCAGGGCGCGCAGTGCCTGTTGCTGGAAGTGATGGAATTCACGATGAGACTTGACCTCGTCAGCTACAGCACCGTCAGCAGTGCCTGTGACAAGGGGTGTGCGTGGCAGCCAACTCTCCAGCTTCTGCAAGATCTAAGACCGCGCTTTCTTGAAGTCGATGCGGTCATGTACAGCACTTTTGTTGCACCTTCATTGGTGGCACAAGCCTACTCATGATCCTGAATCCTGCAAGGGTTGCATGCTAAGCTGCTAAGGTACTTCGCTAGGTGCTTGTGATCGAGCTGAAGAGTGGCGGTGGGGCTTGCAAGTGTTCGGCAATTTTCAGGAGAGTCGGCTGGACGCTTGACTTTGCATCCTTTGCGTAGTCGGGATCATAGATTTAGTGGAATTGACGACTTTTTGCGGGGAAGAAGGGGCGCGGTAGCGGGCAGCGCACAGGACTTTTTTGCAAGCGCCTGCTAGCAGTTCAGCTGTAGCACATAGCTTAGGTACGTGACGAGATTTGTTTTGCTGCCGCAGTGGGATCGGCAGCGACGGGCTTCAGGTGGAAGTTGGCTCTGTCGCTAGTTGCTGCACTGTCCAGCAGGATGCCCGGGGCCAAAGTCTTTGAAGCTTGAGCAAATCGCACGAATGCGCAACGTTCTGCAGGAGCCCTTCCTCCACCTGCAGCAAAGCTGTCACAGCTTGCGAGCGCAGCGGGCTACCTGCGACAATATCGAGCCAGTGCATGCCGCTCATCCCATGAGACCTTTGTTGGATCAGCCAAAGTGGGAACATGTGTCTGTGGCAGGCAGACCTGCCGTTGATTTCCGATATGTGTCAGCTGCAAACTGATTGCCAAAAGGGAAAATCTATTTGCTGGGATATGGGTCACCACACATTATGACAAAACAAACGGCAAACAGGTCATGTGCCGCGCAACTCTCAGGCAGGTCGCGCATAAGCGGAAGTCTGATTTTGCGTTTGCCTTTCAAGAATTTGGCTCAGGTTTCTGCAAGGCATCCTGCATGCAACTGCAACAGAGCTTTTCGACATGCCACCTCTTGCCCTCCAAGCAAGCAGCTAGCACAACCTTTTACTATTAATCAACTGACGCGTTTCGGCAGAACACCGCAATTGCTCATTACATCTTGTATGACATGTCGCGATTCACGGCATGTGCAGATTTTGCTTGCCAAGGAGTGCAGAGTCTTGTTCCTTTTCTTATGCGCAGTCCCTTGTGCCACGAGAGGAGATCCAGGAGCACGGTCGCTGGCACTTGGCCACATGTCTTGCCTACGAGTCTGTCCAGCTCAATGCCATCATCCTGACAAACCTCATCAACTCCTGTGCCAGAAAAGGTTTCTGGGCCTTTGATTTGCCTGAAGGGGAAGGGATTGACTACCATTGTTCTCATACTTCATCTTTGGGTTTCAGGGGGGAGCAACGTCAAAAAACAAAGAATGGAAAGAAAGAAGCTGAGCAAGACCGAATGCACAGAGCGGAGCCAGAGTCTTGATGAGGGAACCTCCCAGGCGTGTTTGTGGTATGTTCATGTGCAGCAGTACCCAAACGATACCTCCACAACCTTGGCTGTTTGGTTGTGCAACTGGGTTATGTTGGCCTCAGCATGAAAGCCCCTACTTCCAAGGCTTGTCAGTTTAGAACGCCGAAACCAAAGTGCATGCGATGTCCAGCCCAAACTTCAGTGGGTGGGGGTTGCATGACTCAGAGCCGTAGGTTGCAGGCCTGTAGCCCTGAAGCCAACCACGCGTGACAAGCTATGGCTTCAAACTCCTGTGATTGATGAGGCTTTTGGGAATGGTCCGTGTGCCTCCTCAGCGTGAAGACCTGGAGCGTCCAGGATCGCAAAGGTCAAAGTCTCGTAAAGTCTCTCTTACTTGCTGCCAGGCTGACATTCTGCTCCAGAATGCTGCCTTGCGAGCATTCGCGGGAGCGTCCACATGGGCAGAGGCTCTTTGCAAAGGTTTGACAACCCCTGGGGCAGACCGAACCCATGCGTCATGTTACCTTGACATGGGTGTCGCCTGCAGGCAGTAGCTGGCTTGGATGCCATGGATCAACGATCTTTGGCGGCGGATGTGTACAGTGCCAGTGCAGTTCTGAAGGCATGCGAATCAGGTGGACGAAGAGCAGATGCGAATTTTGAACATTTCACAAGGTTTGAAGCAAGGAAATTTGGAAGCGAGTGGAAGTGTGCTACAGTGCTGTTTCTGTCGCAGGGGGATGGCGTGTTGCAGCTGAGCACCTGCGAAGCTTCCTTCAGCTGGAGTTGGAAATGACAGCTGTGAACTACAACGTGCTCATGAGAACTCTCGCCACTCTTGGCTTTGTTTAAGAGTACTTCCTATAAAGAGACTGGAAGACTTGGCTTGGACTGAAGGCGGTCTTAGTGCAGCCATGCGTGCTTGCCTGAGGAAACCTTCACGAAGTGGCAGCAGCCCCTGGAGATCATTCATGGTATGAAGAAAGTGGGCATTGAGAAGACAGCCCCATAGCAGCAGAGCCCATTACCAAGCGAGAAGCAGAGGTCCAGGCTCTGAAGTCGGCTGCGCCCCAGGTCATCTCTGTGGCTTCTGCTACTGCCGCATGCGGCAATGCGGAGCGATGGCAGCACGCACTTGCAGTAGTACATGGTGCGCTCTTGCAGCGGCTTCGAACCAACTTGTCAGGCACCAAGATGAGAGCATCTTCTGTGCTCATGCCCAGCGTGTTAGGATGGATTTGGGCTGCCATGTCTACGCAGGATCGCATGCAATGCAGCTGCCAGTGCATGTGAGAAGCCAGGTGCGGTACCACACGCCCTGATTTCTATTGCAACCTGCGAACCTGCGCAGGTCAATGGAGGCAAGCGGTGCAATGGGTAGTGGCCATGCGTCACAGCGGGGTACAGGAGCGGAAGTTTGTGCAGTTCTGTCCATGGACTTCATGCACGCTCCCCCGCAGGAAGACTGTATATCCTGCAATGCAGTCATGAGCTCGCTGGAAAAGGGCGGAATCTGGCAGAAGGCTCTGGAAGTGCTTGACTCCGGGCCCCTTGGGCCGATTTGGTATGCAGAGGGCAAACAGCGAAGAAGCAAAGCAGCTCAGGTTTCAGCAATTTGAAGCGTCTGTGGTCACCTTCAGTGCCGTGATCAGCTGTTGTGAAACGGCTAGCCGTTGGCTCGAAGCGCTGGAGGTGCTTCGTTGCTTGCCCAAGTCCAGGCTGACCGGCAATTGCTACACATTCAACGCAGCAGTCAGCGCCTGTGAGAAGGGTTCGTGTTGGCTTGGAGCCGTTTGGCTGCTGTATGAGATGAAGATGGCAGCATGGCAGCTAGATATGATCTCCTACAACGCGGCAATAAGCGCCTGCTCCAGCAGCAGTCAGTGGAGAAGCATCTTGCTGCTGTTTGCCGAAATGACTCTCTGGGAGCTTCAGAAGGATGTCGTTCGCCCAGTAGCAGACGGTGTTTTGACTGCTTGGGGAGCTGTTTCCTTTCGTTTTTTTGATGCTAGGTGTACTGTGCCTCCAAGGTTACCACATATGAAGCAGCCGTCGGGGGAATGGAGAGGGGTGACTGCAGTCTTGAAGCAATTGTGCTTCTGCATGATCTGGAGGCGCAGTATCTGGAAGCCTAGCGCAGAGGTGTGCGAAAGACATGGCCAGTACGCGGCCACAGGCGGCCAGAACCAGGTGAGCGACTGCACAGTGCCTCGCAATACCTTGGCCAGCCACCAGCGAACGGCCCTGCGGGCGTTTGTGCGGCCGTGCTGGGGGTGACTTTGCATTGAAGCACAACTCCTCACGAATCCGGGCATCGCGGCCATCGGCAAGCAAGCTGCTCAGCATGCTTTGACAACACCTACCGGCAGGTTTCTATGCCACACTCCCTCCCCTCGAGCTCACAAGATTGTGCCCAGTGATGCCTTTCACCGAGAACAGAGCGAGAAGCCAAAAAAGCCTGTCCATCGTTTTTTGGCTGGGGGTGGTGCACCCTACATGAACCAATCTATACCGATCTACCAAATTTCCTTTGCTGAGGACGTGCTCCGTCGAGTCTTCCAGGCCACGCAAGACATTCAGGCTGGTTATCCTCCAAATTCTCATTCGTCACGTCTGTTGGTCTCCTTCCAGCTGGAGGAGCGCCAATCCTGAGAACAACTACAAACTATTCAGTTTCAACTCCCGCCATTTCGTCAGACACGGAACTTGAGCGTGTAGAGGCCTGTGGGAGACTGCTGGAGCCGTCAGGCTTGAGACCTGTTCGCTGCAACGGATGGTGTTGTGTTGTTCCGAATCTGAGGCTCACAAGGACGACTTACGCCCACGCTCTCTCCCAAGGCAACTTCTTCAACACGCTCAATCACTTCCAGCTTGTCGTGGCTCGAGGCAAGTGTGGCTAGCATGCAGGACCTGCAGGAGGCGGGTGGAAGGCATAAGCTCAACTTTCAAAGTCTGAGCTGGGTCTAAGCCTTAGACGCCGTAAATGGATCTGCTTGCGAAGGCCACCTCTCCTGGATACTTTTGTCGCGTGAAGTGCTGTGATTCCAGCTTGTCTAGTGCCAGTGAGTTTTGCTTCCGTCGAGTTGAATACGTACATGCAGAGTTCCGAAAGTGTCTTCAACTACTCCCCTGCGCTGCAGGCACTCCACCCAAAGAGGAATGAGTCCAACGTTGAGCAGCTTTTGCGCGAGTGGGACACTCTCAAAAGAGGCAACGGAGGTTTTTCGTTGAGCAGCTTGGCAACTGGTGAAAACCTCTTTGCGACCTGCCTCTGCCAGTGAACTCCCAGTCCCAGAACATGGCACCAGCAGTGTTACTCAGCGAGAAGGTGCTTTTCAACTCATGCCGTTCACCGCTTTCCTTTTCCGATCACAGGAACGGACAGCTTTTGAGAGCGCCATGGATGACGCAGAAATGATGGCGTGCATGCCTTGGAAAGCAGAATCCCTGACTGTAGCGTGCTTGCTTAGAGACAACTCTCTTGACAGCATGCAGGACAAGCGTGGTTCCAAACGCAGCATGTGTGGAAGCCTTTCTGTCAGGAGGGGTGTGCTCAGCCAAGGTCTACACTTGCCTAACCGTTTTGAGGCTGGGCCTTCAGCCTCCCATAGAAAGAACGTCAGTGGCTAAGAAAGATACGCTGCTAGACTGCTAGACCTGACCCCAGCAAAGTCCAGACAAGCTCCCAGCAAACGCACGCAATGACCACGTCAGGATTTGTTTCATCTGGAGGTCGCTTGTTTCCCACACTTGCTGTGGGTGCTCACATGTACTGTAAGACTCCTGTATGGCATATGGTTCAAACTGCCAGGCAGCCACGCCGGGAGGTACACTTAATTACGACCACCGCCAAACCACCATGGCAGGTAAACTTCCGAGAACCAGTGTCACATGCGCACATGCGGGTTGGGCCCTGCCATCGTGGTTTACTGCCTGCTTGTTGGAAGTGTGCGTACTGTCTTGTTTGTTTGGGGGTGATGTACGTGTAGTAGCTTTTTCCTGGTTCTTTGTTTGCTAGTGGCTTCCAAGCTCACGACATAGTTACAGCACCAACGCAGGCGAGCTCAACCAAATGTTCCTGTGAGGACGCCATGGGTAGGATTGTCTGAGTGCCTGGTTTGTTTCCTTTGGGAGGGTTCGACCCTCGAAGCGGTCTGCGGCCGTTGGGGGATGATATCACTCATGGGGCACTGCGGGTGCAAACTGAAGAATGCAGACACAGGAGCCCAAAAGAGCAGAAAAGGCAGCAAACTTTGACTTGGAAGCTTTGCACATTCTTAGCCAGAATGGGCATAAGCCCCCACATATTAGTCCATGACGTCTGCGCCCATGCCAGACTGCTACAGCGTGCTTCTCTGTACTTCAGTTCTTGCAAAGGCTGAAGCATGCGGAGATAAGTGGCTGGCTGCCAGCTGAGTTTGCAGAATTGCCAGAGCCAGTGTCGTCTTGCCTCAGTT